TATCCCCCTGAAACCCTGCCATCCCAGGATATCCCTGCCTGTTTTGCTCCCACCTGCTCTGTCTCTGGCCTTGTTGCCTCTGCATATCCCTCCCTGGCTGTCCCTGGATACTGTCCTGTAGGTCTTATTTTGAGCCATTATTTTTCTCCTCCTCCCCTTCAGTGCTGTTTAAGGCTGCATCCAGCTCTGGGTGGCACAGGGTGAGGGAGAGAGGGGCACAGCCAGCTCTCTGCCCTCTGCTCATATTTGGGGCTGAGCTCCTATGGCACAAGCCTGCTCTGCACCGGGCAAGCCTTCAGCAAAGACAACATCTGGATTTCAGACAAGCTCTGCAGGCCATGTGCAAGTGGAAAGCAGTGATTTACAGCTAGGTCAGATCTGACAGGATTTTCATATGGCCACCAAGTACAGGCTGATGTCTCCAGGGATCAACCCCCGCTAATTTCAAGCCCCTGCATGAAGCACTGAACGGCAGTGAAACCACTGTAAGATATTTTCAGCATGGGCCAACCATATTTTTCACTAACCTCATTCTTGGAAGTTGCTGACCAATAGAAAATTTCAGCCTAGAATGATGAAAATACAAAAAAAAAAAAAAATTAAAAGCAAGCGAAAAACATATCTTATAATCAAAACTGTTAGGCCAATGTTAAATATAAGATTTGTTGCCCTCTTCACCTGTAACAGAGGGATGGCTATTTAAGTATTCAATTTGGGAAAAAACTTTCTTTCATAACTGACATGCAAGGAGAAAGCATTTTCCTTCTGAACATGAGGCATATGCCCAAGAAAGACATCTGATAAGGAGAAACAGTGGTGACTGTACTCAAACTGTTATGTGATCTGAATTATTTACATTGCTTGGAGTTCACCAGATTCTTCACCAAAGTGCTTTCAAGTCCCACACTGAACTGAGCACTAGTGGATGCATCAGGGAGAGAGATGTCAGCTTGACCCACCGTGATTTGCCATCTGTGAAAAGCAAACAAATACAACCAACTGGAGGAAGGAGCATTGTGACTGTAACAGGAACTGGAGCACAGATTTACAGAGGATCTTTGTGTTTGGACTCATGAGCCTTTGACTATGTTAGCACTGAAAAGTAAACAGCTGCAAAAGCCCAGCTACACAGATCTGTGCAAAAATCAATCTTTGCCTGTTGACTGCTTGACATTCTACCTGCAAGGGTGTGTAATTATTTCCTATACTGTTTTCTTTAGTTTTTAAAAGAAGACAGATAGGTTTCCAGCCAAGTTTTTAGGGAGTATTTTTAAAGTTTTTACTACACTCCAATGAAAAGGCGCCAGGATTTTAAAACTTGTCCACTTTTTTCAAGTATATACAGGGGTTATAATCAAAGATATTATGTCTGTGGCAAATTTTGATTTCCTCAGATTACAGTTTCACAGCTAAACCAGGAGTATTACTCCTGATTACTGCTATCAGAGAAACTACCATTTTTGGAACAAGAAGTCACTGCTACTTTGAATTGAGTCCATTGCTGAAAGAAGAAAATATATCTAGATGCAAAGTACAGCCTCTTAAAAGCCACAGCATAAACACAGAGATTTTTCCCCTTTTCTGATCCAAAATACAGTAGTCACAGACTATTTTTAATTCATGTAAAATTATGATAATCATGAAGGCGTAAACTCTATGGTTTGCTGAATTGGCTGCAATGTGCATCCCTAAAGTAGGGAAGTACTGAGATCAGCATAATGAGAAATATGACAGAGGACCCTGCACATGACTTGTAGGCTGAACCAAAGATCATGCCAGACCAGATGTAGCTACATTTATTGCTGTGCTGTGCACCAGAAAATGTTAAAAATAAGGCACAGGGAGTGCAGATTTCCAAACATATTAGCAGTACTCCGGTGATGTGATCGCAGTGATTTTAAGACCACAGTGCCTTGAAGGCCAGCAAGTACTGGGTTCTTTTTGTTGCTTTTACCAACCTAGATTGACATATATGACCCAAACCTGACATCTAGTGGAGGAAGAACGAGGGCAGAATTTTCCTTGCCTTCCCAGGGATGCACCGGGCTGTGAGCACACACTTTGTTCTTCTCTTCAGAAGTGACCTGAAAGCCGTCTGTGTCCCACGGCTCGTCCTGGGCAGGGAAGCAAACCAAGGAGCTTGTGGGCATTTCAGTTAATTGTGCACACCTTGTCTGGTTCATGACACCTGTGTCCACAGCTATCCATGCCAGAAGCCAGTTCCACAGTGCTCTCAGCACACAATGAGCTCTGAAGTCTGAATTTAAAGAAGTTTCAAAAGACAGCAGTAGAGACAACCACATCTGGTTGAATTTGGGCAGGGTCTTGCGAATGCATCTAACAGAAAGAAGAGATGTTCACTACAGCTGCACAGATGGTGTCAGTGACCTACAATTTCTGCTGTCAAAATGTCAGGTCTCTTGGACCAGACCAGCCAGTTCGATGTCAGCTCATGAGGCTGCAGCTCTGTTAACTTCCAGCTTTTTCCCACCACAGTAGTGCATTCACTGCCCCATCTGGGCAGTGAGCTGGGAGGCCACCAATACTTTGGGAAAGTTTTAACAAGTTTCTGCATTGTCCTCTGCACCTGCCACTGTAATATATCATTTCTCAGTTAGCAAAAAACCAAAACTTCAGGCTCTTATACTTGCATGGAAACGTTGAAGGCATGAACCCTAAAGGCTAAAAGAAGCTAAAAGCCAAATAAAACTCTCCAGTGTTTCTTTTTCACATCTTAGAAATTTAAATCAATATCATAAATTTGTTGGTACCTCTGTTGTGATGTAACCACTTACAGGCCATTAAAAATGTCAGAAGAGAAAGGGTATTTTAGTTGTTTATACACTGCAGGAAGCAAAAAACATCTCCCACGTGTTAGTAAAGGGTCCAGGCTTTGTAGCTGGGAGTTATAACTACACACACTGTCTATGAATCATTATTTTGGGAGGATGAAGCAGCAAGTTACCAACAGTTTAGAGATTCATTAAACCTCCTGAAATACTGTTGCTTGCCTAAGTGAATGCACAGCCATCAGCCACTGCCAAAGAGCTCAGCTACAGGGCTCTGTCCCAAGCAATCACAATGCTGATGAGGTGATGCATTTTTTTAGGAGGGATTTTTAATCTCCTGATAGCAAAACAAAGTTAGTGTTATACAAACAGTACAAAGTTTACCACAGGATTGAGCTTTAATCTCTGGTGGTTGCTTATTGACTGCAGAAGAAACAGAAGCTACTCAGTGAAAAGACCTCCTCAAAATCCTGTTTGCTGGCAAACTTGAAGGAGAGGCTCTCACCCCCTGCAGCTTTCCCTGAAACCCAAAGTAAGTCTGAACTGAGGTCTGAATTGGGAGATGGGACTGGGCCTGGGTTTTTAAAAATTCCTGTTTATTCTGCCATGAGAGGACTTGGTTTATCTTATTGTGCTTGATGACGTTGACCTTTCTAAAAGTTAGAAAAGCAGAAGTGATAGATGGTTTAAAGAACTTCACAGTGTATTTATGAAGACTTGTGCTATCAGCACAGTTCTCAAAGTCAGAGAAAGCAGGTTTGGGATACTTGCACCCCCTGCTACATGTCAGAGCAGACAGAAAAATACCGAAGAAATCAGTTGCATTTCTTCTTCCTCTTCCAATGAGTTCCTGATCTTGGGCTCTTTACTAGCAGAGAATTGTGTGTCCCAATTTTCAAATGTAGACAGGGGTACTTCAGTCAGTGAGAAGCAGGGTGCCTGCAGTTTGACAGGCTGTGTCTGTGTACATAACCTGCATGTTTACATGTGCCAAAAGTGACCAACATGGGACACATGGGGCTGATTTTGGTGAAGCTTGCAACCCTTGCTAATCTGGAATGGGATGTTAATCCTGAAAATTAGGATATTTACTTCTTCCTGTACATTTTTTAGAGAAGTCTGACTGAGCCACAGCTGTTTTAAAATTTTATGTTTCCATATATCTTGCTAAATACTTATTTTAATCAGGACTGCAGAAGTAATTGCAACAAACAATTTAGAAAATTGACTTTGTCTGTGTTTTGTACATGTTTCTGCACACACACAGGCATGGTTTGCTAAAACATTAATTTTCATGGCTTTCAGTTCTTGCTTCTTCAAAAGTATGTAAGTGCAGGCATTTTCTGGGCAGCATTTATGTTGGTTTGATTAGACATCTGGGTCACACAACTTCACTTCCATTCCCTGAAAGGCTGAGGTTACTTCTCAGAAACATGTTTCATATTGTGGAATTTGTTTTTTGCCAGTGTTTTCTTATGGTTTGTCCAAATTCTGTATGTTCCTTTTATAGTATATATCAGTGCTCCAGCATGTAATGCAAACACCCAGAAGGTATTTGTTACAGAAGAGAAAAGAAGATCTGTAGAAAATGCTTTGTTTTTTCCACAGCACTGGCCTTGACAGTGACTTGTTCTCAGGGTCTGGAATAGTTTTACAGTGTGTTCATCCTGGAGCAGGTTACATGTAGACTCTGTGTTTACTTGTTTCCAGATTTCATGATGTTGAATTCCATCGCTGTGCTCCTCCATAACTAATTGTTCAGTCACGGTGCCGTCCTTAGGGGTAATCTAACAAATGGTGTTCTGGGACACCCTTTGAGCAGAATTAGTGGAACAAATAATGCAGCTTGTTTTAAAATGGAACTTATGACAGAATTACACAATTGAAATAGCAGAGCACCTAAAATGTCCTCTTCCTTCTGTTTTAAACAGGGTGCTGTTTAAAACAGAAGGAAGAGAGGCACAGAGATGCAAGCTTCCTCCTGCTCTCATGGCTGCATCCGCAAGTTTTCCTCCTACTGGGGAAGAGGATTCTTAGACCAATGTGCAAGATAGACTGAGACAGCTCTCAGCAGCTCTTCTATAAAACAGATGGCTCCAAGTTTTGCATTCACTGACATTAGAGCCCCCGGAAGAGAGAATGACAGTTCAGGGATCTAATTTCTGCTCCATGTCATTCTTCTCTTCAAGGTTCCCTACACCTCTCTCAGCAATGGCTATGGTGTGTCTTTCTGACTTTGAAGCTTATGCTAAGAAGTATTTACCCAAGATTGCTTGGGATTATTTTGCAGCTGGAGCAGATGACTGTACCACACGAGATGAAAACATCCTGGCATATAAAAGGTAAAGTGAGAAGGAAATGAAGGGGGTTGTACTGGGACCATTTAAACTGGTTTTGTGCAAAAGTTTGGACTTGACAAGCAAAGGCACCCAAAACCTTATCCCTTTCCAGGGGGTACCCAAGCTAAATGCAAAACCTGAGTGACATGCATCTTGTGCTGTGATGCCAGACTGAATATAACATGGCTTGTATGATGCTTTAGGGATGCTGAGGGTACAGGCAGGTGCTAGGGTAGGGTAGGGCAGGGTACAGTGTGCTATGGAGTGTGTGGCATTACAGGAATGGGCATGAGCAGCTCCAATAGAATGAATTGCAACAGGGAGCTCTTGGTGAACAGCAGAAAGACTGTGTGCAAATAGGGTGGGATTTGGGGAACACGCTGCAGAGCCTGAGGGCAGGCACACAGTACAGTGAGGACAGACACACGGATGGTGAAGTGGAAGGACCCAGCCTGGCTGCAAGTAAAAGGAACCTGGGGGAGGACAGTGGGAGAACAAGACAAGGTGAGCTGAGGCAGGAGACGCAGAAATCATGTACTGTGGCCAGTAAAACAGGATTAATGCAAAGTGAGTGAACTGCTGGCTGAATTGACTCTAAAAGTAAACAGAAAGGACGAAGAGCCTTTGTTATATTTTCTTTCATTATAATTTTATTATTTGTTGTTTTCTTCATTGGCTCAGATTCCTTCTTTGCCATTGGTGAATGAAGACCTGGTTTCCATGAAATTTCAGAAAACTCACTGAACATCTACTGTCCTGAAGGGGTTTTTTTGCCTTACAGAATTCGTTTCCGGCCACGTATGCTGCGGGACGTATCCGTGATGGACATTAGGACTAAAATCCTGGGCTTTGAAATCAGCTTTCCTGTAGGAATTGCTCCTACAGGCTTCCACCAGCTAGCATGGCCTGATGGAGAGAAAAGCACAGCCAGAGGTACTCTTCTGCTCTGGTGCCATGTAGCACCAAAAGGGGGGTTGTAGCCTCAAGAAGCTGTTAGGATGACTTGAAGTGCGACTGAGAAAAATTTTCAGGCTTAAGGGGTCAAACTCCATTCCCACTTTCTGACACCCTGCTTGGGATGCTGCATAGATGGTGCTCTTCTTCTGCAGCTACCAGCACAAAAAATTAGCCCCATGGAGTCTGCTGCAAACTGAAGACAAAGGCAGCGGGCACATTTCTGACTCATACCAAAAACCACATAAGGTTTTCAGTCCTGGGGGCTCTAGATGGGTGGTAAAAGTGGTGGATGGGACTCAGACTGTGAATTCCTTGTTACTGGTTAAGAAATGTCTCCCTTGGACAAAAAGATATCCCATTTTCACAAATCCTGTGGAGAGTTTGGAGACCTGACCCCTAGAAATGTTTTATCTTCTGCGTACACTGAATAGATTTAACAGTACATCCCTGAGAGGACTTAGTCATAAAGATAAAATTAATGTTTTTTCTAAACATGTAGCTGCAAAATGAAAGCACAGCTTGGTTAATTACATCTCCTTTTTCTGCTTTCTTAACCAAGGACTAACAAGAGTGCATGGCAAATACACTGTCATGGTTAATCCCGGGACATAGCTGCCCTGTGCTTTGTAGGATACGCATGAAATCAGGACTTGGGGCGGTCTCTGCAAACAGCGCATGGTTTTGTATCTGATGTCTGGCAAGGCCCTTCAGATGCCTTTGTTTCTGATTCCTTCCCAATGCCTCCCAAGCGGCCAGAGCAATGGACACCTGCTACATTGCCAGCACCTACTCCACCTGCACGCTGGAGGAGATCTCCGCGGCTGCGCCCGGCGGCCTCCGCTGGTTCCAGCTCTACATCCACCGCAACAGGGCAGCTTCCCAGCAGCTGGTGCAGCGGGCGGAGGCCTTGGGCTTCCAGGGCCTCGTCCTCACCGCCGACCTGCCCTACACAGGCAAGAGACGCGACGATGTCCGCAATGGTTTCCGCCTTCCTCCCCACATGAAAGTGAAGAACTTGGAAGGAGCCTTTGAGGTTTGTAAAATGAGCCCGTCCTTTCATTCACTGCCCTGGCATGCACCACATGAGAGAAAAACCACTGGGTAACTGCTGCCCTGGCATTTGCTGTACCGGGGTGTATCTTCTCCCCTGCTGGTTCCGCAGCATCCTGGCTTGACCTCCTGCCAGATTGGGTTCTGTCTTCAAAATCCCCACCCAGCTGCCTTAGAGACACTGATCTCCACCCCCATTGTAATTATTCTCCTCCAGAGACATGTGACATTTCTGGAGCCGATGAACATGTCTGTTGGCAAGTTTGATTAATCTGTTCTAGGGCAAGGAAAGACACCAAGGGACCTGTGTATTGTTGCAGTCTGGATGAGTTTTCCTTTTGCTGTTTCATTTTGGTTGTAGGGAGATGACTGGTCTGAGTATGGACTGCCACCCAACAGCTTGGATCCTTCAGTCACCTGGAATGACATTTACTGGCTGCGGAGCCTGACACGCCTGCCCATCATCATCAAAGGCATCTTGACAAGAGAAGATGCAGAGCTGGCAGTGAAACATGGAGTTCAGGGAATTATTGTGTCCAACCATGGTGGAAGGCAACTGGATGAAGGGCCTGCCACTGTAAGTGAGAATGGATGAAAATGGATGTCCCACATTTTCCCCCTTTACAGTCTGCACGTTTGCAGTAACCTGAGTGTTTCTACGCCCAGGTTTGTGCGTACACTACTAGTGGACTTGAGTTTGTCCAGTGGCCATGGATGTGTGCAGATATACTTTAGCTTTAAACTGGTGAGATCCATGCCTTGGCATGGGGGCTACCCACTGAAGTATTTCCTCAGCTTCTTGGGAAGGTTCTGTAAGTACCACAGAACCCAGTTAAGTGCAGATAAACTACTGCCCTAAGTCAGGGAGAGTTCCTGCCTGTGCCTCCATTAGCTGGTGCAGCGCACTCAAACTCTTTGCGCACTGCAGCAAAAAGAAAACAAAGCTCTGGAACCAAAATTGTACAAATGAAAGCATAATGTATTCTCATTGTTCACATCTGTCAAAACATGCAAAACAATGCAGCTAGATTTAGTGAGAGGTCTGCTTGCGTATTTACAGGCTCAAGTCTAAACGGGAATTTATTGACTTACATGAGCCAGAAAAGGGATAACTTATCTGGAGAAAAATTCCCCTGCTTTTAAATTTGTACAAAGAAATCACGCATTGTTTGGACATGTGTGTATTTCACTGGCTTAATTTGGCTTCTGTCAGTTTTTCCAGTTGCTCTTATTTTACAGTTCTGCATTGCACAGTATCTTACGAACTTTCTTTCCTTGGTTTTCTTTTGTTAAATAAAAATAGGTACCAGGGAATTCTCTTCTGTTCTGCGTCAAGGCTGACAATAATGAATTAAAAAAAAAAAATCCTCAGTGCTAATGGTATAGTAACAGAAATGGCATCCACATTAAACTGTTCTTCTACCTTAAAAGTTGTTTTACATACACAGACAAGGCAGTAGTTTGAGTCTGCTATTTTTGTGGTGTCAAGCCTGGCTTTTGCTGAGTTAGTCCTAGAAAATTTCAGCCAGAATGTTTTTAGTTTGAAATTCAGCAAAAAAAATATTAAAAGAAGGAAAAAAGGTATAAGACACTGCAGAAAAGAGCCTTTTGGGTTTGCTCTGAAGGAGAGTTAATTATGTCCAGTGCCTTGTCCTGCCCCTGGTTGTACTGCCTTTGGGGCCAGAGCCAGCATCTCTGCATGGTGCTGCCCTGCAATAATATCCAAGGCTTACTCCATGCTGAACTCTACAGAAAAGACCTTAGGGAATCAGGAGACTTAACCTGGAGAAAGTGACTGACTGTACTACATAGCAAATGAAACCCTTCATAGATACTTTAGAGGGAGGCACTCAACAAGTGGTCACCAGGATTAAGTTGAAATGTGAGCTTGGGTAGTTTGAGCAGCAGAAGTCTGACATCAGCCTTTTATGCAAACAGCCGTATTATTCATCATTGTCTCAAATAAAAGTAAAATATTGATGACAGTTATTCCCACTGAAAATGATATTTAAAATCTTTCATAAATCTATTGAAAATGTTACTTTTTCACAAATCAAAAGTGATAGCAAAGAATATCAGTATAAGCAAAGCACTGGAAAATGGCATTAAGTATCTGGAAAGCAGAGCAGGGAGCTGCATGTTATTCTGCTATTTGTGATGCATTGTCACCTTTCATTTCGAGAAGGTTTCCTAGTAAAGCACTGCATCCCTGCCTGTCTCTTTGGAATATATCCTCTTTCTCTTGGAATCAAAAGCTGCTCTCAAGGTGAAACTGGCTTCTTCTTTGCAGATTGATGCTCTGGTTGAGGTTGTGGAGGCAGTAGGAGGCAGAGTCGAAGTTTATGTAGATGGAGGAATACGAAAAGGAAGCGACGTGTTAAAAGCCCTGGCTCTGGGAGCAAAATGTGTCTTCATTGGAAGACCAGCTTTGTGGGGCCTGGCTTACAAGGTGAGTAAGGGGCTCTGAGGCCATATGCCTGCTTCTCACACTCTCCAGCAGTCCTGCAGCTGAAGTCACAGAGATGCCACTGGTGGAGAATATATTTTAAAATTTCATTTTGCTGAATTTGAAGTGGAATCACCCCCAATTCACAGAATGAAACCCTGGCATTTCTTCTGATTTAAAAATACACTGAATTTGACAATTTCCTGGGATTTTGAACAATGGGATTTTGAAGGTGATAGCATTGTTTTGTGGGACCTGATTTCTTGTTGTTGCAGTTTGATGCCAAAGTACTTTAGGACTCGGGACCATTAGTGCTTTTGAAAACTGGAGCTGGGTTTATTTGCCAGAAAGCTTAGTCTGCAATTTTATTTGCTTTCAGCAAATAGTTGGGAACAATACATGGTTTTGGTAGAACAGTTTCACAGCAGTGCTATGAATTCTTCAGAAATACATATAGAACTCCATCCCATGGATGGCTGAAACATTTTGAATCAGGCTGAGCAAAACTGTCCTGGAGGTGCCTGGGCTTTCCACTGCTATTTCAGTTCCAGCTTTGCTGCTTCTCAACTCCAGGCATATTTCTATGATCCAGAATCATCAATTAGGCCTCTGATGCAGGAGGTAACATAATATAATTACAACTAAAATAGTATTATTATACCAGTTGGGTTTTTTTGTTAATTTTTTTATTTTTACACTCTGGATGGAGTCTTCCAAAACTTTTCTCTAGAAGAAAAGATACTTTTTTTACATGGTCTAGACACATTTCCTTTCTCTTAAATGGCACTCTTGTCTAGTGGTGTGATTGCTGTAGATTCCAGTAGCAAGGCTTTGATAAGAAATCACCTGAATCTACTGAAAAATATGGTAAGAGTTGGCAGTACTATTTCTTTTGGCAGTAAATATCAACAAAGGGCCTAAGATGAAAGAGCTGTTCCTGTGAGTTGCCTGCACTTTTTCCACAAGGGAAACAGAAAGGAGATGGGATTTTGGAGGGTTTCAATTGTGCTTTGGTGTAATAGTCCTTAGAGTATTCCTAAAGATGTATCTCAGTGGCGTTACCAAAGCATACAATAGAGGAAGGGCATAAACAAGTGCTAACATTGTCTGCACCCAAAACATTCATTATTGCAAGACATTAAAATAAAATGTAAGAGAAAAAAAAATTAATTCCCCAGTGTTTCATAGGAAGATCAAAATCTTCTGTACATTGTATTGGCTTTTGAGCTTCTTGGTGTCACTTACAAAGAGAAAAACACATAGTCTATTATTTTTAAAGATTCAGTCTAATATTTGAGTAAACTACAGTTTCTGGAGTGGTAACATATATAAAACTCTCATTACTTCGTTAAAACCTGTCAGCATTGTAAGGCTTGACATTTTAAATAGCAAGCCCATTGGTGGGGGGAAACTAAAGCTAAAAAAAAGAACCAGCTACAAAATGTCAGAAGTGAAAAACAGCTTTGTTTTCTTTCCCTCTTCAGATGTATCCCAAAAGGAAAAGCATCTAAATTAATCTGTGATGAACTGAGCACATCCATCATATAATTTTAATCATTCATCTCCATGGGAGACTGGAATTGGCACAGACTTAAGGGACTATCCCAGCTCTCAGGGTGCAGGCATCCTGCAGCACTGCTCTGTGCCAGTGCTCCTTTTACCCTGACTGCTTTCTCTGTTGGTGCAGGGTGAAGAAGGTCTTCAGGATGTCTTGAGAATCCTTCAGGATGAATTTCGCTTGTCTATGGCCTTAGCTGGTAAGTATTTTGTTTGTAATGGGTGTTACAGATGTTCCTGCATGCAAGCACTGTGAAATCAGGAGTGTGATGGATGGGTGACAAAAAGGGAATCCACAGGAGCTGAGATTGTTTTAGTTGCTATACTTGAGATTCTCTTCTTCCTGTGAAACCACTTGGCATTCCAGGTGTCATAGCAATGAAGTTTGCAGGGAGGGAGTAGGTTAGAGCAGCTCTGTGACCCAAGTAAAGAGATGCAAAACTGCTAAGTACAGACGGCATAAGTTTTTCAGTATTTAGTGTTTATCAAGGTTAAATGCAGCTGATCTTTTTTTCTGCATGAAGAGCTCATTAAAAATGGATGCAGAATTTTTCTCTGTGTGTTAGAGAATACAGTCTGTAGGTGATTACACATGTTTTAAAAGCCTTTGTGTCTCCTCCCAGCTTTTACTCTCACTGTGTGTTTCTCACTCCTGCACTCAGCTGTAGCTGCCCTGTTTGACCCTCTCACCAAACAGCAAATTTGCAGATCCCAGTGCAAGCTCCAGTTTTATTCTTGAACAAGAGGGTTTTGGCACTGACAGGGTCCCCAGAGCACCAAGCCTGACAGAGTTCAAGAAGCATTTGGACAGTGCTCTCAGGCACATGGTGTGATTCTTGGGGTGTCCTTTGCAGGGCCAGGAGTTGGACTGGATTATCCTTGTGGGTTCCTTCAAATGCAGGATATTCTATATACTATGACATGTAGAACTCAAGTGGATAGCAGCACTGACTGGGAGATTGGAGCTGAAATCCCTCTGGCTGTAGTGTGGTTTTATGGGTTACTTTTTCAACCAGTAAAGATTCCTGGGTTTTTTTCCCCAGCAGACTTTAACAGTTCTTTTCATGCAAAAGAGCACAGAATTCAGCAAGAGTAGCAGGTCAGGATCTTTTTGCTGAGGCTGTGAAATTCATTGAATGATACAATTTTTAGGTTGGAAAAGATATTTAAGACCATCAAGTCTAACAGTTAACCCAACATTGCCAATTCCACCATGAAACCATGTCCCTTAGTGCCATATCTACGTGTCTTTTAAACACATTCAGAACTGGTGGCTCAATCACTTCCTTGGCAGCCTATTCCAGTGCTCGATAACGATATCTGTGAAGAAATTCTTCCTAATATCCAATCTAAACCTCACCTGAGCAGAGGATTCAAGGTGCAGCCTCAGCAGTGCCCAGTCCAGGGGGCCAATCACTGGCCTGGTGCTGCTGCCCACACTGTTGTTGGCACAGGCCAGGGTCCCTGTACCACACCTGGGTACACAGCTGGCTCATGTTCAGCCAGCTGTCAACCAGCACCCTTATTCCACTCATTTAATTTGTCCAAATTAAATGGCAGTGCAAATCTGGCCATTTGGCACACAGCAACCCCTGTCTTTTCTCTGTGTTTTTCTGCTGACTTTACTGGATCAGATTGCACCCTGCTCAGCTTGTTATAAAAATAATTCTTTTCATGTTTCTACCTCTTCTTGTGGGGGGACTCCAGTGCTGAACCTCGAGGCTGACGATGCCACTGAGGAGTGGAGATATTGAAGTACCAACCTATTCCAACCTGGCTTGTACAAGACTGGGATTTAGAGCAGGGGGGCTTCCAAGCTTCATCCACAGACCTTTGTCTCTCACCAGTGTTTCATTTCTTGCAGGCTGTGCCAGCGTCTCAGAGATTGGCCAGCACCTGGTTCAGTTCTCCAGGCTGTGATCAGCCTCCTGCCATGCCCACCAAACAGAGGCAGGAGAAGCTAAGGTCCCAGCCAGACTGAAGATGAACAAGGAGGTGCAATAAGTATCTGCTAAGGCTTTCTGGAAACTTCTGAAAAGATTAGGAAAGGCTCTGTGTTAGCAAAGGCTGCTCTCTGCTTTTATTGAGACCAATGAATTCCATAACAGTCTGGGTAATTGTTACTTGTCTAAATGCATTTTCTTTAAACTGGCTGTTCCACAGCATTACCTATGTTGGGTCTTCCTCCAAAGTTCCTCTAACCTGGACAGCCAGACATGGAAAACCCTGTGCCTTGCTTTTTCCACTTGTCAGGCCAAGTCTCACTGCAACCCAATCCACACACCTCTCCTGCTCGGGGACAGTAAGTGTTGTGGCTATCTTCCACAGACTTGGCTTTTCCTGGATGTATTCATAAAAGATATAGAAGTAAGATGAATCAGCTACCAGGCACCCCAGCTGTCCTTTGAAAGTGGGGACAGTTCTTGCCCACTGCTTCTAAAAGCAAAGCAGGGAAGGGGTGGAGCAGAGTGCCCCTTGTGGGGAACGAGCCAGCTCTTTTTTCCAGGGGTGCAACCCCCTGCCTCCCCCTGCTTTGGAGCCACAGATACCCTGATACCCATTTCCCTGGCACATGCAGGGACAGCCGTGCTGCCAAAAGGTGACCTTTTGCATAAAGCCTACTTTAAATCAGCCCAAAGGAGGCAGAAGGAAGAAGCTAACCCCGTTGGCTTGCTCTGTTTAGACTTTAGTTTCTCTCAGAGATAACAGTGTCTGCAGCGATCTTCCAGAGGCCTTCACATGGAGGCCTTCCTCTCTGCTCCAGTAACAATAAACCTTGTCAGCAGACTGACAGCCCAGCAGATAAGACTTGGGAATTACAGCACATTGCACACGTTGATGGATTTCAAGGATGTACAAGAAGAGAATGAGACAAGTGGGAGTGCTCAGTGCTGCGAAGGCTAAAGGCAGCGGGAGGGGGATCACATCATGCCTTTTACCACTCCTTTGGAGAAGATCCAGGCCAACTTCTTGGATGTGTGCAGTAAAAGGGTGAAAGGCAATGGGCACAAGTTGCAATGAGGAAAATTCCAGGCAGAAATCAGTGGGGGAAAAAAATCACCATGAGGGCAGTCAGACACTGCAATGCAGGGTTTGTGAAACCTCCATTGTTAGAGATGTTCAGAGCTTGCCTGGGCAAGGTCCAGAACAACCTCTCTGGCACTGCTGTGAGAAGAGGTTGGCACAGAGATCCCCAGAGGCTGCCTTTAATCTGAATTGTAGGAGGATATCACAGAATCATAAAACAGGAGCTGCACATGAGATCTGTACCCTGCCACACCACTGTGCTGCCATGACCAGCTACGTGGAGCTGCAGGGGCAGCACGTATATCTCCGTGAAAGGCTGCAAGAAAGCATTTTCTGAGTGAAAAACAAAGATATTTGGTGAGTGAACTTAAAGTGAGAGGTCACAGGGTTGAATCAGGGTGAGAGTCTATTTAACAAGCCCAGTTTTTCCAAGACATTCGGAGTTTTCTGTGATTTGGGTTAGACCTAAGCCAATGCATACCAAAGTTTCATGCCCCATTGTTGGCACCCAGTTCTGCTTTATGTACTTGATGTCTGATACACATTCAAGCAAGGTTAAATCTTACAAAAAAAACTGTCCTCGAAGATTGCAAACACGTAGCTTAAGGACTAATCAAACCCTGCTGCTTCCCAGCATCCCTGGAGGATGGGACAGAGAATCAGCCTACTTACAAGGGTAGTTTATCTACAAAATGGATCCAAACATTTTTCTTTGGCATATGATGCAAATTTCTCCAGCTTTTAAATATATGAGTCACTCATCAATTTCACCTGAGGAAAAAGAGTTCCTCCTAAAAGTAAAGGGGAAAGGAGACTAAATGTTTGTTTCTAGATAATTGCCGAAATCATGTGCTGTCTAATATGGCAAAGACTACTGCAAGAAGCCTTTTTGATCTTGGAGATAATGTCAGAAATGTTTACAATCACCTTCTCCATTCTACTGGAAGAATTTTGGTATTACTGAAATAGGAGATATTTTCTTTGTCAGGTTTGAAGACACAGAAACACTGAAGCCTCTTAAGGTGGTTTCCTTCACACCATGATACAAGTGTCTTACAACTCTCCTCCACTATGAGAAGTTGTGTTTATTCAGAGTCCGATACAGGACAGTTGTCCACAAGTTAATTATTTAAATATTTTTCCCCTCTTGTCAATGTATAACTAGAAGAGAGGGAAATGTTTCCAGGAGGGAACAGTGCCTCCCACACTGAAGGGCAGAAGTTTTCCTTGAGTAAATCTACATTTCAAAGTCCAGCCTCTCTCCCAGAGCTGCCAGCATGCCAGCTTACAGGCATACAGTGGTAGAGAAACACATTAATTTTTCACATGAGAAGAAACATGGAATTATGTGTGTGTGTGTGTCTGTGTTTGGTCACAATTACTCTACATTTAGAAATCAAAAGGTCCAGCTAAATAATGAGTATGCTTTTGCTGCTTTTGCTTTTCCCTGCTTCAGTTCTCATAGGTCTGGGCAACAGACCAGACTTCAGAAATCCTTTTCCTGAATTAAAATTCTTTCTGGACAAATAGATCTGTTCTTTTTTTCTTACTTCTGGATACCCTGATTGATAGCAAAATCAGTTTACCTGATTCCATAATTAAACAGCATTGCCCTCTGTAAAAGTACATTTTATCCCATCAAACATCCATGCCCTGGAATGTTATTGCATATAACCATTCCAGTACCATGATACAGTTTTTTCCTAATGCTGCTGGGAATTTCCCCTTCACTATTTCTCTTTCTGTCTTCTCATCTCCACTACACTCCCTCCCAATCCATTTTTCTCCTTGTGACAAGGCTAAGAAAATACATTCTCTAACACCTGCCAGTCATTGCCCCAAAGTATCTGTCACAGTAGGCACAAGTGAAATCAGAGGATCAACTGTTCCTGGGCCAGGCTGGAATGGGACATGGTGCATTGCACATATACCAAGTTATCCCCTTAGCCCATGTATAGCATTTCTCCAACACTTATCAAAATGTACAAGCTCTGATTTTCTAAAATAATGCTCCAAGTAATGCAGTCCATTCTACAGCAAAATACCAGACTGTGGTGGCTTCATTTTACAATGAAGTCAAAGAGAAGCAAAACATCAACATAGTTAAAAAATGTCTGTGCCTTGACACAGCTTGGTACACTTTTCAAATGCTGCTCAATAATGTTTAAATCTGCAAGTCCCCCACCTGTGCAATAACTCTGAATTTCATCAAGCTGCTCCTGGTGGTTGGAGGTCTGGTGGACTTTGGCCTTGTTGCTCATTGGAGCTGTTCTGGGTGTGCAGCCCATTCCAGCACCTGCCTCCGTGTCCTTTGGGGAGCACCAGAGCCAGTCTTGTCTGACAGGAGGAGCTGGCGTGCCACTCAGCAGCCCCAGCAGCGATGGCAGCACGAAACAAGAGGTGAAAACCTTGTGTCTAGCTGAGACTGCAGGAAGGACCAGTAGGTCTGAGCTGGAGTTGAGCAAATTGCTGATATCTGACCACTGACATTCACACACCGCAGTTCAGATGAAGGCAGTGATGTATAAAATTCTCTCAAACTAAGCCAAGCAGTTGTCTGACTAGTACCTAAGAGGACAAAGCAGAGCAGCAGTAAATCTCCCTGCAGGCTCCCATGAAACACACATATTCTCATATAAGCACTACCCCTGCTAAGCTTGGTCATTCTGATAGGCAAGCTTGGTGTACAAGAGTGTTTTCTGTCCTAAGAGGCTATGTGGTGTTGTCTGGTTTTATAATGCCTCTTCAAAGCATTTTATTTCCTTTGTGAAAGCAAAAAGAAAGCCCTGTTACAGAGAATGCCTCTTGGAGCAGCAGGATTTGGTCAGTTATTTTCCTTGCAAAGTGCACAAAATTAATTTGCAGCAGCTTCTGATAAGAGTATACAACGTCAAGGTCCTGACTGTGAAAAGCCAAGGAAAGAACCACTGATAACAAAATTTTAAAGCTTTGCTGGGGTAAGGAACAGATTTTCAAGGACGCTGGGATTGAAACAGTTGCCAAAATTTTGTCATCTGTGTCAGCTAGAAACCTTTCTCCTCCAACAGAAGTGGTTTTGCTTTCCTCCTGTCACTTGCAAGCCCAGTTTTGCTGTAAAAAAGTAACAGTGTGGGGATGCTTCTTCTACAGCTTTTCTCCAGAGCTCTCTTTAATGAGTGAACAAAACCCATGATAGAATAAAAAAGGAGCCTAGCAATTAGTGGCACAAATGGAAACAAAGCATTTTTAGAGACCCATTCCAGCCATGCCCCAAATCAGGGATCCCTTTTCCAGTGATTTCAGCCTAATTAATTGTGTTGCTGGGCTTCTTTGTAGCTTCCTTGTCGCTCAAGGCAGCTCCCTATTTATCATCCTGCTTCAGCAGGGATGTCAGCCTATCCCTGTGAGAGAGAGAGAGAAAATACAGCTGCAGCCAGCGTGTCCTGACAGACCCAGGAGGTTCAGGCTATTGCCCTGCCCTGGTCTCACACTACAGAACAGTTTTGCTGGAAGTGGAATGAAAGCCCAGGGAGAAACAACCTGGGCATTTTCCCTGCGTGTTGGAGATGTAAAGCAGTAACGACACACATCACTGCAGAGCCCTACTTTAAATAGGTATTCTTGCACAAGACATTTCCAGAGGTGAATCTTTCCCTCCTGCAGCTTGAGTTTAACTTGGATGGTACATTAAACAATTTCGTCACTTCAAATGCCTGTAGTATACTGAACAAATACAAAATCCACAGGGTTAGTTTCTGATCTTGCACAGAGAGAGAGTGAGAAACCCACACTTTAATGGGGGAGCCCAGTATCCAGAAAATATGCAGCAGCAGAATTCACTCCTCAAACCACTTTAAATAGCTTTTCCTCTATTTACATTTAATTTAAATGCTCCCTACCTTCAATACTGGCACAATATTGGCACTGTATTACAGAAGCAAGTGCAGCTGAAGAGAATTATGAACATGAAGGTTTATTCTCTGGGGATTTAAGAATGCAAGACCACATCTAGGCTCAGACCTCACTGTGTCCAGAGCCTTCCTCTTTGGTGGGAGTGGTGTGGAAGCATCACATTGTTTTGCAGCAAAGGAGGCACTCAGGAGGGAGGGGAGCAAGATAACTGAGGTGGTGCCCTGCAGGATATAAATACAGGCAAATCTCCCCCACACTCTTCTGAGTGCCCGGGAGGTGGAACCGAGACTCAAGGCAGAGTTTTGAGGGGTTGGTTTGGCATTGAAGTCGATTTTGAGCATTTTCAGATTTGTTAATTGAATCGGTTTGTAATGATTTGTTAGGATGTTTTCTTTGCGTGGCAAAAATACGTAGACTACTTCTGAATAGGAATAGCTAGCAAAAGTAAGGCATGCTTAAAAACCAGTTTGATGTAGGGATTGAAGTTTGTTTCTCAGTAGTCTCTCCTTCTGGTAACACCCTTTGATTTGCAGCGTTTCCAGAGGTTGATGTCATATGTTCCTTCCCTCAGGCAGGAGGAGAACCAAACTCAAGAGACAGCAAATTCACCACCGAGGAGCAGCCCAGAGCCATGTCCCTGGGTGGGGTGAGCTGCCTGGTGACAGGAGCAGGAGGCTTTCTTGGCCAGAGGATTGTGTGCTTGCTGCTGGAAGAAGAGGAGGCGCTGGCTGAGATCCGGCTGCTGGACAAAGCCTTCAGCGCTGAGGCGCTCGGGAGGTTTGACAGTAAGTGCCATTTCCTGAGGATTTTGTGCTGCACTGGGGGTGCTGCAGTCCCACGTGGGTAGCTGGTAAGCCTCTACCTCTCATCTGAACCAGATTTGCAGATGGAGGTTTTATCTCAAGGAATCCTTGCTTTATCCCTCCCTCTTCCTCCAGCACAGAAATCAGATGTAAAATGTGAAAACAAGAGGGTTTTTTTGTCAGGCCCTGAGGCTTTTATATATTTTATTTCATGCAGTAAAAAGGCTGTCTTCAACCTGACTTCTCTTCCAACAAAACCCACAGAGCAAAATTAGTGCAAAAATCTCACACTTCTTCTTGGGGGAAAGGAAAATTCAAGCATTGCTATACTGGGTGGGAGGGCAGAGATATCCAGAGCATGCTTTGCTGGGCTCTGGTGTGCCAGACAGCGAAGGCAGTGAAAAAGTTGTGGGTGCAAATTCCAGTGGTTTTCTTCAACCTGTGATTAATTTGATTAATAGTGATCTTCTGGCTGAGAGCTGTGGTGAAGTATTTTTAAAACTGCTTCTGTTAATAACATTATTGCAGTTTCCTGTTTAAGCAAATGCTGAACAGAAGAGACAGAACCCATTTGCAAAGTGCAAGGCAGGCTTCTTGAATGGATTGGAGGCAGCACGAGTGAGCGATGTGCCCAGTGTCAGAAACAGTCTGTGGCAGGGAAAGCAGCTCAGTGTTTTACTTTGAATGTCCTATTTATTAAGATTCTAAGCATCTAGGGCATCTGAGGGGCTAAAAGGCATCTAGGGGGCCTACATTCAGTCAGGTTCATAAGTATTCCTCCATGACACCTTCACTGCAAGACTCCTCTTCCTCTGTGCAGGAAACTGTAAGGGAACCCTTAAGGAATATCTCTGCATGATTTGCTGAAGAGCCTCAGTCACCCTATAGAGCATTAAAGTGTCATCAAGGAATAGCAACAAAGCACAATAAACCTGGTACAAATTGCACAAGCAATTTATCATGGTTTTACACAACTCAAACTTCTTCTCCATTAAATCTGACTCAGTATTTCACTGAGGATTTCTAAATGCCCCTGGGCCTTGCAGCAGCCCTTCCTGCCCTGGTTTCCAGAGAGTTTCCACAGAAACAAACCCAAAATCTGCAGCTACAGTAGAGGCTGAAGCAGCAGGAGTGTGTGTGGCTTAGCACTGATGCAGCAGTACAGAGGCATCTACACTGCTTTGGGCCAGAAGAGCTTTGTGCGGATAATGAAGCATCCTGGGGAGTGAAAACCATTGTTTGTGTGGGCACAATCTTGGCTGGGCTGCAGCAAACGTTTTGATGTTTTGGTTTTTTGTTAATAGGCAAGCTCTACGCCCTCTTTCCTTATCCTCAGGGAAAGCAGCTCAGTGTTTTACTTTGTATGTCCTATTTATTGAGATTCTAAACATCTAGGGCATCTGAGGGGCTAAAAGGCATCTAGGGGGCCTACATTCAGTCAGGTTCATAAGTCTTCCTCCATGACACCTTCACTGCAAGATTCCTCTTCCTCTGTGCAGGAAACTATAAGGGAACCCTTAAGGAATCTCTGCATGATTTGCTGAAGAGCCTCAGTCACTCTATAGAGCATTAAAGTGTCATCAAGGAATAGCGACAAAGCACAATAAAGCTGGTACAAATTGCACAAGCAATTTATCATGGTTTTACACAACTCAAACTTCTTCTCCATTAAATCTGACTCAGTATTTCACTGAGGATTTCTAAATGCCCCTGAGCCTTGCAGCAGCCCTTCCTGCCCTGGTTTCCAGAGAGTTTCCACAGAAACAAACCCAAAATCTGCAGCTACAGTAGAGGCTGAAGCAGCAGGAGTGTGTGTGGCTTAGCACTGATGCAGCAGTACAGAGGCATCTACACTGCTTTGGGCCAGAAGAGCTTTGTGCGGATAATGAAGCATCCTGGGGAGTGAAAACCATTGTTTGTGTGGGCACAATCTTGGCTGGGCTGCAGCAAACGTTTTGATGTTTTGGTTTTTTGTTAATAGGCAAGCTCTACGCCCTCTTTCCTTATCCTCCCTTCTTCCTCCATGAAGCACTGCCCACACACCCCCTCTCCTATTCTTCTAACATTCCTTCTGCCTATCTGAGCAGCACAGGGAGTAGGGAAAAATCAGTTACCAAAACCTTTTCTTTCCCATAAACAGGCAGTAGGCTGACATTCCAGATGTGCTTAAACGGATTTGAACCCTGCACTTTGACTGGCAGCTCCTCTGCCTGTATCAACCCTTGTGGCTACATCTCTTCTAGTGTCCTGCCAGTCCCTGTGCTCAGAACTACCCGAAATATTTCCCTGCTGTTCCCTTTTAAGCCCTTCTCTGTCTCAGTGACTCCTATTCCAAAACCTGTGGGTGAGGCTGGACCCTTCTGACCTGCATTATTTTTACTACAGGGGCTTTTACTTGCTAGCAGATGTTATCTGGATTTCTGGAACAGCCAGGAGCAGAGCTGAGTGGGTTTTTCCTCACTAATCTCTTGAGCACCTTGCACTTGCAATATCTTTGCAGGGTCAGGGCTGTGGCTGGTGAGACAGAGCAGTGTGTGCAAGTCACAGGTCTCTGTGCCAGAAGGCACTCAGGGACACTCCTCTTTTGTCCCAACGACTTTCCTGCTGAGAGCTTGACCATCACACTCAGTGTGTGCAGGACAGTGGCATTTGTGGTGTCCCACAGCCCCAGGGAGCCTGGGATGATCCAGTCAGTGTCGAGGGCTGTGAGTTGGAGTCCACCCGCTCCCATTGTGTGGTTGAGAATGGATGTCACATTGAACATGGTGCTTTGGTGCCTGGGTTTCTTACCTCCCATCTCCCACACAGATTTATCTTTCTGCCCTTCCTGTGCTTCCACTTACACAATTCTTTTTTGTTGTTGTTGCTGTTCACTATTGCATTGGTGCTTCTGGGGAAATCAAAACTCCTATGTTGTTCTCAAGTTTAGGGCAAATAGTCTGACTGTACTGCTGAGTCAAAAACTGCTCACAACAGGACACTGAATTTTATTGAGAAATCATTGCATTTTCAAGCAAAAGCTACCCCACAGCAAGCAGGGAGATTACTTACAACTCAGAGGACACAGAAACCACTGGTGAATGAGAACAAGCTTTCCCAGTAAGTAGGTACTTTGTCACAATCACTCTATGCAAAAATGGAGAGGTGACTTGAATTTATTCTGTTCCTCCCCCTCTGACCTACCCACATGTGTTCTTTTGCTGCATGGGCAATGGTTTGTCTAGATGGAAATCAAGAGCAGCTCTCTCTGCTGGCCATTTCAGACTGAAACCACTGTCTGTCAGTCATTTCTTAACTCTCTTTTCTTCCAAGCTTACCTGTAGTTTTGTCTTCACCCAGAGCAAAACAAGATCAATCTGCTGATTCCTGACATGCAGCTGATGCTGCTAAAGGGAGCAAGGCCCAGGTTGTTCTTACCATGGCAACTTCTGCTGGCTAAAATGGAACAGAGGAGCAGATTTCCTGACTCATATCACACACACACAAGCTGCAAGCCCAAACAAGGCACAAAGCACCTAGACAGCAGATTTCCCATGATCAGCTTTAAAAGGGACAGGGTTCTTCTGTACTTTTCCTGAAAGCTTTGATTTGCATGTATAAAACTTGCATTTTCCTAACCCCTTCCTGGGCACTGTGATAACTTTGTAGAGGTCACATGTCAGAATTTATGTTGTGAAAACTATTTCTGTCTGTTCTTGGGGTTATTACAACACCATAAAGTCTTGTTCATGGAGAACATCAACCTAAGGGCAGTACAGACACTAATATTTATTAGAGCAAATCTAACTACCAGGTGCTTTAAAAAAGCCCAGCCTGAGTCTGATACTTTTGCATCCATGCAAGTAGGAGTCAGAGTGAAGATTCAGGAATCCTAGGAAATTAATGCAGTCTGTAAAATAAAGAAGCAGAAGACAGCATGTGGCAATGACTTTGCTGGGAGGGCAGCAACTCTAGATTTAGTAACAGCTCAGCAAATGTTTCACAAACCTTAAATCTCAGACCAACTGTCTGTGGTGGGGGAAAAAAGCCCCTTAAGCCTGTTGCATCAGAATAATTGTTAAATTGATACAGGATTACATTCTTAGCGTGCTATAGAGAAAATGAGATAAAACCATTAAAAAATATATTCCCACTCAGTTCCTGATCCAACAGCTGTCTCTCTCAGTGTTTCCTGTTAAAGCCATGGGATGAAATAGTGTCTGCTTTGGAGCTGGTGACAAAGCACTAGGATACACAAGATGTCAGTCACGGCTGAAGCTAAAAGCTGTACAAATGAATCAGGTTCTTCTCTTATCTAAAAGGGGCATTTGATTACGCTGGAAGAAGACAGAGGCCGTGCCTGTGCTGCAGAGTCCCTGCCCCTAGCTGAGCGCGGGGAGCCATCTAGTGCAGCCACAGCAGAGGCTCCTGGAGGACTTGCTGCGAGGGCACCGGCTCCTCACAGCTGGTGGGTCACGCTGAGAAAGTCCCCTCTTGTGCCGTGGCACTGCTCACCAGGCCAGCTGAGTTCCCTGCACAGCAGCTTTGCCTTGGACTGCACATTTTTCCAGATGATCATTTGGTGCTGGGTCATGTTTGTGTAGCTCTGCAGAAAGAATCCTTCTGCCCAGCACAGGATGCCTCTGAGACCTAGAGCTCCTCTGGGGTCACACACTGCAGCTGCTGTGGAGGGACAGGGCTTAAAAAGCAGGATTTAATCCAGCCAGGCTGAGGTAGCTCAGGAGAACACGCTTGAGAGTTCAGGTATGAGCCAGAAAGACTTGCAGACTTTGGAGGTTATGGTTTCTGGCTGAGGTATGTGCTTAATTACCAAGCAGCACAGATACTGAAACTTCTGACTGAAGTGATGTGCCCTCCTTCTGAGTCCTTCACAGAAAAGCAGGTTCTGATCTGCAAAATGGCATTATGTGCAACCCAAAGTTCAGACTGTTTTCCCTCTGGGTACATAAGGTACAGTAGAATGTTGCCATTTCATTCTGTTGCTGCTGTCTTACTTTCTTGAAGATAAGAGTGTAAATTTAAGCACAAAAATGACTTTTTAGTCCTAGCTGTTTCTGAGTCTTGCACTGTACTCTCTAACAAAACACCCAGAGCACAGACACTGAAATGGAGCCAGAGCTGGAGCTGGAAGAGGCTGTAAGTCTGTAGGACTGTAAGTCCTGGCCAAGGTACAAGAAAAAGATGTCAGAATTGTATGTAGTTTATTAGAAGAGCTGCAGTACAGACAAGGTAAAGGGGCAGAAAATAGGTATGAATACATCCCTGTGCTCACATGCCCTGGGTGGAGGGAGATCATAAATCAGCTTGAAAACAGGAACATGCAGTGCCTGTTCAGAGCTCTTGGGTTAACACATCTATAGCCAGCAGCCACCAGCACCTGCACAGCTAAAGCTACTCCTCCGTGAACATTAACACAGCCACAACTCAAGGAAGCTTGCTAGCAGTGGAAAAGATCTCTCTCTAAAAAATAAAATGGAAAGAAACATGTTGAATATTGGCTCCAGATCTATGGTAGGTAATGCAAAATAAATCTCTGTAGCACTGTAGTTAGCATTTGACAAGACAGTCCTGGGGAAATGCCTTCTGTTTCACAGCCTTAAAATATCCCTGCAGTTCCTGGACAGCACTTGCCAGGCAGGGTCAGCTCTTCACCAGCCTTCCAGTGCTCTTCTCAGGGTGCCTGTAAGGTCTTGTGCTCTGTTTTCTGCTGCCCCTGCAGAGTTCAAGGGGAAGACTGAGGTGAAAATCCTGGAAGGGGACATCAGAGATGTGACATTCCTGCACCGAGCCTGCCAGGGAGTGTCCCTCGTCATCCACACGGCTTCCCTCATTGACACCCTGGGCCTCATCGAGAAGAAGCTGCTCTGGGAAGTCAATGTAACAGGTGAGCAGGGCAAGCACCTTCCTCAAAGCCACATCCGTGTCCTGATCACTGTCTGCTCAGGGAAGGAGCACCTGAGCCGTGTTTGTTTTGAGCCAGGTTAAGTGGGACATTCTGCATCGTGCACAGACATACCTAGGGGTGCAAATCCCATGTCTGTGCAGCCCCAAGAAGTTCTGGGCCTCTCCACACCCAGTCTTCCACTTCAGGGCAGTGCAGGATCACTCATTCTTGTCAACACTTATATATGCCCATGCTGAGGTCTGCACAGCTCTGCCTTCAGTGGTGATAGTCATAAACCCACGCTCAGTGGAACTTTCTGAAAGCAATTCCCCTCTGAAATCCCAATGCTCACCTCAGAAATTGGTTCTTATTCTCCCACCCCACATGGCATCCCTGCCTGTGTACATTTTTCAAAGTTTAGAAATACTGCAGACTTTGGCTGCAGTGACAGAGATGTTGCACTGATAACATCCCAGAGCCTGTGGCTCTCTCCTTGCTGTTGTTTTTCTTCTTCTTTTCTCTTTTTCCTTCCTTTGCCTTTAAGTCTGTGTGTGCAAGAAGGCAGTTGAGAGGAACAAGTGCTCTCCCAACTTGAGTTTATAATTTAAAATTCCCCAACAAACTCAGAGCTTTGGGAGAGAGGGGTTTCAGTGACTCAGTCATGGGATTTTCCCTTCCACTAAGGAACTCCCATTCTTCAGGAAAGATCAGGTGAAGGGAGAAGGTTTAGACTTAGGAATGGCCCATGTAGCATCACCTACCAGGATGTTTAAATGCATTTTCTAAAAGAACAACTTCACCCCCTGTCTGTGAGGCCAAAACCCCCAGTGCCATTCAGGGAACTGGCACTGCCTAACCTGCAGGCACACTGGCCTCCCTGGCTGTGCTGCTTCAACAGCTTGGGCGAGATTTGGGGAAGGTGTTCTTTTTTACATGAACAGCTTTCCCATTTCTTTGTTCCTCTCTGCCACAGACACAGGGCTTCTACACAGAAAAATAAGGAACATACCTGTACAGGCATCACTTTCACAAATCTTGGCTGCTCACCAGTTTTCAGAGGAAGAGAGAATTCTTGGCAGTCGAGTTGTTTCTTACATGAACCTTAAAAACAGTGGGATGGCATTTTAGTTGTTTCAGTGTGGCTCATTCCCTGTACCATTAGCTTCCAGACCCTTTCATTTCTGCTCAGTCAAAGCCACAGACTGTCAGTGATCAAAGCATAGAGCTCACTGGGCAGCCTCTTAGGCCCCTGTCAGGAGGGAAGAGTAGAAAGGCAAGTTCCTGGAAACCTGTGCATTGGGTAATATGAAAATATACCTGGTTGGTAGCTCAGATAGAGGATTTCTAAAGCTCTGTCTTTATTACTGTACTCCCACTACAATCTGTTTCTTTACAGCAGAATCAGAAAGCTCTTTAGCTCTGACTCCCCATTACTCACTCCCCTGCCAACAGTGTCTGCCTATGGGTGAAAAAAGCCCACTGGGCCAGGGAGGATTAGCTGATAACATTTGCTAGAATGAAATATTCTCCAGAGTCCTGCTCCCAGAGCCAAGTGGCCACAAGGTCAGCAAGTGAATACTGCTCTCCTCTCTTCACTGTTTTAAAAAAAAAAAAAAAAAAAAAAAAAACCCAAAAAACAAAAAAACCCCAAAAAATGTCCCGGAAAGCTCTTTAGCTCTGACTCCCCAGTACTCACTCCCCTGCCAACAGTGTCTGCCTATGGGTGAAAAAAGCCCACTGGGCCAGGGAGGATTAGCTGATAACATTTGCTAGAATGAAATATTCTCCAGAGTCCTGCTCCCAGAGCCAAGTGGCCACAAGGTCAGCAAGTGAATACTGCTCTCCTCTCTTCACTGTTTTCTTCCATTTCCATTCTGATGCTCTTCTGGTTTTCTGATCAGCCAGGGCACTGCTATGTACTTCATGGGCTTGCAGGATGAAAGTTTTGTTTCTCCTAGAAAATACAATTTGTGTAATATAAATGTTTCAAGAATCAGGTGTGGACGTTCCCAAACCCGGACACAAGTGAGAAAGTTAAACTTGCCTTGTTGCAGGGCTTTCCTCCATTGCCACACAATATCTCAGAGCAAAAAATATCTTTTTTAGAAAGGAAGGAAAGCAAATTTTTAAAAGGAAGGGAATTGAGAAAATAATTAATTACGATCTAAGAAAAAACCTTCTGTGAACCAGATCCTCAGCCAGAAGGGCAAGCAAACCATGGGCACTCTCTCACTGAAGAAAACATGTAATACAGTAATAATTTACTTTATTACAAGCTATATGAAAGAAACTCAGATTCCCATTACTGTAGGAATCTTTAAACTTTTACATGCAATTCTGATTTGCAAATAAACCACATTTTATTTGGGTGAAATTCATCTTGAAGAGATAACTCTCAAGATAATTTTATGATTGCCTTTTTCTAAAACTTGCTATCTCATTTGATTTCATCAAGACCTTCTGTATTTGATTACTTTCCCTCATTTTCCAAACAGTATTGACAGCAGGAATAAAGCTATTATTTAAAAAATAATATAATAAATACATTTTTTCCCAGATGACCCTGGCTTTTATGTCATCTAAACAGGGTGACTTGCATGAACTCATTTTTCACATTAATTTATTCCTGTCTGTGTAACTTTTTTTCATTGCGCTTCCTTAATGTTTCTGAAAGCCTCATCCAGATTTGTTTTCCATTTGTTTCAATTTCTTTCTTTTTCTTGTTCACGCTTAAAAAGACGAATTTTGGTGCCCTAACAATATTCAGTTCAATAATTCTTCCTATTTTTCACTCATTAACAAGTCCATATTTTGCTGCCAATATTCCTGGCTCATCTGAACCTCTTTAATTCATTATATTCGTTTCAGTCCCACTAGCCTGGCCTGCATTGTGCTGCCTTCAGTTGTTGCTGTAACAGACTGAGCAGACTTGGAAGATCTTTTATGTGCCTCACTGCTGGTACTTGATTTTATCCCCTGGATTTTAGGCTACACCCATCTGATATGATATCAGTCATTTTAATTTAGTGTTCCTTTGCCAAAGATGTTTCCAAATGTCTTTGAGCTGTGTCTTCTCTTCCAAAGTCACTGGCCTTTTTACATTTAATTTCTCTCATTACACCATGCACAACAAATAAGGCAATTTCTGCCTCAAAGCTGGGTAGAAGAAGATGATTCTAATTGCAAGCATAACAACACAACTTATTAAAGTATTTATTTCCCCCTTCAGTGTGCTTTCCTTGTTTAACCTTCTTGGCTAATTAAAAGACTTTGAACAGCTGACCTCTGCTGCCCCCGATGAAAGCATTAAAGGATTTTCAATGTAAGAAATCCTGTAGTACTGCAAGGAAAAGCCAGAATATGCCAGAAAAGGAGGCATACATACACAAGCCTCTCTTTTCTCATTGCACATTATGATCTGACTACATGTTATAGTGCCTTGCTTCACCATGTTTCTCTTCAAGCCTTTCTCTTCAGTCAGTCAAGTATTGGATAGATTTGCACTGGGTGTGAGTGCACTGATTTTGGAACAGACCTTCAGGTCCCACAATAATTCTGTCCCTTCTTAGCAAACCACCCAAGAGCATCCTCAACCCTGAAAAACGTGGCTTCACCACAGAGCATGGATGATAGCTCAGGAGAGGGGCAGCTTCTGAAGGTTCTCTGCCTTAAGCCTACTCAAGTTGGCACAAGTCCCTGAATCTGTGGTCAGTCTCCATGCTGAGTTAAGGCAAAAATTTGATTATTGGCATTAAAAAAAAAACCCCACAACATGCAATTAGGACCAAAATTCACCCTTGTTTAACTCTGGAAGGTGCACTGATGCTACTCAAATACGGACTCAGAGCAGGTTCAGTGTCATTGAATATACTGCCCTGTTCAGGACAGGATTCTTCCAGCTGCAGGGAGGGAGATCTGGCTAAGCTCGGGCCAGAGACGCTGTTTCTGATCTGAAACCCCCACTTTTTCCTGGTTAGGAGGCCCTAGACTGCCTTTCCTGTTTGTTTTCTGAAGGTACTCAGCTGCTGCTGGAGGCATGTGTCCGCTGTAGCGTCCAGCACTTCATTTACACCAGCACCATAGAAGTGACAGGCCCAAACTGCAAAGGGGACCCCATTTTCAATGGTGACGAAGATACAGCTTATGAGAGCACATCCAAATTTCCTTATGCCCAAACCAAGAGACTGGCAGAGGAGTCTGTGCTGAAAGCAGACGGCCAGGTGCTGAAGGACGGTGGCACGCTGATGACCTGCGCCCTGAGATCCATGTACATTTTTGGGGAAGGCTGCCCGTTCCTCCAGGGCCATCTGGACAAGTGCCTGCTGAACAAGAACATCTACCTGCGCTTCTCCAGGAAGGAGGCCCTGGTGAACCCCGTGTACGTGGGGAACGTCGCCTGGGCACACGTGCAGGCGGCCAAGGCCCTGCGAGCCCCGCAGAAAGCCAAGCACGTCAGGGGCAGGTTCTACTACATCTCAGATGACACCCCTCACATGAGCTACGCCGATCTGAATTACGAGCTGACCAAGGAGCTGGGCTTTGGCATCGAGCCCCGGCTCCCCATGCCCCTGACGGTGCTCTACTACTTCTCGCTGCTGCTGGAGATGGTCAGCTTCTTGCTGCGGCCCTTCGTCCGATACGTGCCCTCCACCAATCGCCACCTGGTCACGCTGCTCAACACCCCCTTCACCTTCTCCTACAGAAAAGCACAGCAGGATTTTGGCTACGTGCCGCGCTACACGTGGGAAGAGGCCAAGCAGGGCACCGGGGAGTGGATTGCCTCTGTGATCCCCCAGAGAAGGCTGTACTTGCAAAGCAGCACTGCCTGAGCCTGAGGAGGAGCTGAAACCCAGCTAAGCAAGCAGGGCCTTGAGCCAGAGGAGAGCTGGGCGAGCAGCAGCAGCGGCAAACGACAAAGCATTTCAATGAATACTTTGTGTAAGAGCCCACTGAAACCCCTCACCCCCAACCTCAGAATAAATAAAAGTGAAACGTTCATTTGTTTGTTGAGTGCAGGCTGATGAGGGTAACTGCACTGCAAAGTCCACACCCACTTGTACAGCTCTGCAGCACAAAGATTTATTTCAGCAAGACTCCACACAATCCACGGCGTGAACACTTCAGCCCTTCTTTCACTCCACGCCACCTCCAAGGCTTTTGTAAAACACAACTTGTCCTAGAAGTATGACCGCACTTTACAAATGTGCACCACTCAGCTACACCCCGTTCACTCAGAGATTGCCAGCCTCACCAAAGAGGCAGCAGGCAGAAGCCACCTGATGGCAAAAGCTGTAACAAATCTTGTTCACTTTTTCAGGGATGTTGTGCATTTCATGTTCACCTGACAGTCAAACTTTGAGCGCCGTAAGCATCATGAGATCAAAAGTACCATATGAGTGCAATGCAGTTTTAGTTAGGACAGTGTGTGGAGGGAGAGAAGGGACAGATTTGGTCAGGTGAATACTTCTCTATACACCCTCACTTTCCAATAAATTCAGTGGGTGTCCAGCAGAACAACTTCAAGAAAAGAGAAGGGAGAAAAATATTGCAGGAAAGCCTTGATCACAGAGGGATTCCCACTGCAGAGTCAATGTATTTGAACACTGAGGAAAAATAAAGAGTGCTGAAAAAAATCCTGCTCTTACCACATTTCAGCTGGGAACAAAGGCTAACTTTGGCTGATAGGTACACGTGAGCTGCCCCTGTGCTTCTCTGATGGCCACATGAGCTTCTGCACAGTGTGTAACTTGACTGGTGGGCAAAAACACAGATCTTGTCTGAGCAAACAAATGTGATCCAGTGTTTGTTTCTCAAACATGCATCTCACTTGCTGAAAATAACTCTGAAAGATGGGAATTTCTGTGTTGTTTTGGAGGTGTGAACAGAAACATTTTACCTGACTCAATACTAATGTAAATAAATCACATTTCCAGGGATGCTGAATGCTTGAAGTCCGTGCTGAGTTTAATTATTCAGTGCCCCAGACATTAGATAGTCCCAGTGCAAACATTACTCTGTGTTTTAGTAACATCTTTGGTTAACTGTATAAGATCTGAAGTAGTAGAATAGCAGACACCAGAACTGTCTGACATATTCTGGGGACACAGATCCCCACAAGGGTATGGCTTTGGTTTCCATCTGCCTGGGAGGAGATTACTTAATCCCTCCCTCCTTCCCTCCCTTCAGATGTGTGGTGATTCACCTTTTCTGCCACGGTGGCAATGATTATCAAACATCCTGAAGGAACACAGGGCAACTTCCAGGAGAGGTCTGGGGAGAGAAGGAAGGGTCACAACTGCTTTGGGCACAGCTGCTTTAGGCCCTGGCAGGGCACCAGCTGGTCCTGTCAGGTCTCACCCCTCCCTGCAGCTGGGACACTGCACTTAGATCTCTGGGCTTTCTTCTTCTCCATCCCCTGCCATGGACACTGTTCCTCTTCCCTCCCCTGCAGGCACACTCTTGTTTTGTTTATTCTGCTCTCTGCACACCCTTAGGAAAGCAAAAACGTGTTTAACACAGCAACACCCACAGTCTTTCCAGGCTAATGATGTTTCATCCCAATGCTCAGTGGGTGCCAAGCAAGGGGTGCAGCCGTGGCTGCTCTGTCACTGAGGTGGGAGTAGGAAAGGCAATCCAGGCGCAGGGAATTAGAGCAGGAAGGGAAGAGGGAGAACAACAGCAGCAAAGCCACTATTTAATAGGGGGAGACACTTCACACATCAAAGGGATGGGGTATTAAAACACATAGCAGAAAACTGGGACATCTTTCCACATGTTTAACAGAGATCCTAAAATATCCACAGATGCTGCCAGAGAGAAAAAAGGACAATTTTTCTTCTGCAGTTCAGTGACTTGTTTCCCAAGTGCAAGCTCCCATTGCCAGAGTTTTCTTTGTCATTTTTGCCTTCACAGGAAGACAGTGGCATCTTTTCATCTTCCCAAAAGCCTTGCTCCCAACAATCAGATTTCTACGTGGCAAATTCCTCCTTTGTTGAACTTCCTCTCTGTGTCTTGCTAACACATCCCTTCCTTCAATCCCTGAGACCAGCCATTCCTGCTTACAGGAAGCTTATTCCCCAGTTCTGTCCCTCCCTGAGCACCCCTGGGTTGGCATCTGTGTTGTCTTTTGCTTCAGGCGGCTGCCCAAACTAGTGGAGTGCCCGGAATAAAACATCCTGGAAGCCCAAGGGAGCCACCTGAGCCATTTCTCCTGCTGCTCAGAGGCACTGGAGCTGTTGTGTGCTGTTACCCAGTCACAAACAGAAGCCAATAAGGACATGCCAAGGATACCAAGAGGGAGAACAGGCAAACTTACTGCAGAGAGTTGATTTTCTGCAAGTTTGCACTCCAGTCTACTCTGCAGCAGCTCGTTTCTATACTCTTACTCTTGGCAGGTTAGCAAAATGGCTACAAAATGTACTTGATCAGGATGAGCCCTTCTTGTTTTTACATCAGCTGACCAGGACCATTCTTCTGATTTAATTAGTTTGCCTGGCAATCAATAAAGCAAACTATTGGTTATCAATGGAGCTCCACTGTCAACAGGACAGTGACAGGAGTGTGTCAACTGTCACACTCAGTAAGAAGAACTTTACTTCTGTATAAACAGCAGAAAAGAAAAAAAAAAACCAAAACATTAAGGCTTCTTTTCTGTAAAGGTGTTTATTTACCCTTCAGACATGCAGAAAAGTAAGAAATATCAAATGTATATCAGTGATACTTACATGCTACAGGCAAATTAACGACTTCTGGTTCCAGCAGGTTCAAAACCCTACATTTATAAAGAACATCATTTGCTGTTAAATATTTTGTCACTGGAGAGGAGCAGAGTTTTGCTTGCTAAAAGGGAGCAGGAATGATAATAACACACATTTTGAGTAGATTTAGGAATAAGGAAGATGCTCCAGAGGAGGTATATCAGTGATACTTACATGGTTAATTTGCTACAGGCAAATTAACGACTTCTGGTTCCAGCAGGTTCAAAACCCTACATTTATAAAGAACATCCTTTGCTGTTAAATATTTTGTCACTGGAGAGGAGCAGAGTTTTTCTTGCTAAAAGGGAGCAGGAACGATAATAACACACATTTTGAGTAGATTTAGGAATAAGGAAGATGCTCCAGAGGAACAGAAGCAAAAGTGGCTATCATGTCAATACCAGAAATCCATGCCTGGAATTGGTATCATTAATATAGGATACAGTCAATGGAGGACAGTTGGATAGTTAATGCCAATGAGCATGTGAGCATGTTTTTGTGAAAAATCCATTTTATCAGACAAGCATGACACTGGTATTCTGAGTGCATTGCAGACTTCAAATAACAATAACTTTTTTTTACATTATGAAGTTAAATGAATTCATACTGACTAAATTATAAAAATCACAAAATTAATATTAAGTTTCTCAATTATGATCTTTAAAATTGCTTTTTTTTTTTTTCTTTTTTAAAGCTTTGGCTCAGTTCACAGGCTTTGTGCAGAATAACAATGTGAAAAGTTATGTACAGCCCCTGTTATGTAGGAAACCAAAAGTACCAGTTGTTTCTTGACCTGAAAAACCTGTCCATTATACATGTAGATATAATAGATTATAGTGGCTGTAAAGCTAATTTGGGAAGTGGGAGCAGTCAGGTACACTCCCAAAGAACAATTTCACCGCTCCTTGCCATGACCCCTACAGCCCCATTAATACTCTTCTCCCTCCTGAAAGCTCTCCATCTGCATCTCCATCTCAGTTCAAAATCCACTGGATAACTGGAATTCATGCGTGTCTGTGCAGTGGATTTCTTACTCAGACCAGTGACTGCTATTTCTAGACATTCCTCATTCACAAAGCTAAACTTGTCTCATTTCTTAAATAAGATGTGTCTCTCCAGTGCTGGCAGCAAGCACTGAATATTAAGCAGTTAAGAATTAATCTGCAAAAGGGAAAAGAACATTAATCAAAAATAAAGATTTATTAAATCTCCAGCTTGATCCTATAACAGGTGCCACTCAAAATGCTTAACATGCATTGTGGAAGACCATCAAGACAGAGAAAGACAATCTAGAAACTTAAAAGGAAACAAAATACATGTGGGCAAAAATTGCTCTGAATGTACTGATATACTTGGTAATCATCTCATCCTTTTTTTTTTTTTTTTTTCTTTTTTCATTTAGGTTTAATTTCTCAAGACCAAAAGCATACTGGATTTTTTACACACACTTGGGCATTCTACGTGCTTTATTTGCAAGTGCTGATGACAAAAAGAACACTGCACACTCACCACTAAGTCCAAGAAAGATCACTTTCTGGGGGAATTTCTTTGGTCCATCTGGGAATTGATGTCTCTTGTCTACAGGGCTCTTGGAATAACCTCTGGCACACAGGTATTGCTGCAGCAGTGCTCTCTGGCCAGCCAGGAGCAATAATCAAGGGATGAGATCTGTTTGATCCCCATCACGGCGCGGGAGGTTTTGCTTGCACCAAGCGGTTGAGGAGGCTGTTCTCCAGTGTTCAGGAACTTTCTGTTCTCCAGGAACTTTCCCTCAGCCCCCTTACGTGTACTGGTTATGTATTTACAGAGAGGAAGTAGTCACTTTTACAATGGCCTCATTTACTTTGAACTCCCTGTTCCTGGCATTGCTCCGAATGAGGGAAAGGAACCAGGACAGCTCCACAGCGGGAGCTGGCTCACTCCCGCAGCCAGCTCTGGGATGAAGCGCGGGCTGAGCGGCTCCTGTGCAGGATGCGGAGCCCAGCCGGCCCCTCCTGCCCCTCCGCGCCCCTCCGGGCTCCGGGAGCAGCTCTGGGAGCCAGGCTGGCACCGGGGGCTGGCGGCAGTGCAGAGCTCCCTGATGGATGCAAAGGCGGGTAGGAAGTGGCCACGGACACATCTGGGAGAGGTCCCGGGGCAAGGGCCAGACCCGCACTCAGACCTCGCCATCCTTTCGCAGGGAAAGCTGTTTTGGGCAGGGATGTCCGGAGCGGCCGCTGGGTGGGGTGAGTGCAGTGTAAACCCGGGACTTCCCTGCGCGTCCCCTCCCCGCAGCTCCCGGGCGAGGACACAGCGGGATCGGAGCCTGGGATCAGGACTTGCTCCTCGGTGGCATCCTTTTCTTGGAGAGGGAGGAGTGTACGATCAGCTGCTCGGCAGGAGCGATGCTTTGCCTCACACAGCTTCGCTCTCTGGCTCTGCTGGTCTGTGCCTCTTGCTGCCACAAGATGGTATCTTCAGCGATGGTTTCCCCTCACTTGCTCCGCCAAGCCCGACTTAATATTCTGACTGCAGAGTTTCTGTCTTCACAAAGTCTGCGCTTTTATCACAAAAACCACAGTGCAAGGTTGCTGGCGTGGGCTGCCTGCTGCTGGGTACGGGGGATCCAGACAAACAGAGACAAATGATCAACCCTGATACATCACAGAAGTAAGTATTCATCCCACCTCCTCTCCTGCTAACGTTCTCGGGTGCTTTGCAACCCAAGACAACTCCTCTTACAAGTCAAAATTCCTCAGTGTCGCTTTAAGGGAATGATTTGATACGTGTACTTCAAGAAAAGGTCTCAGGTTCATCCTCTGAACGCTGCTCCAGTGGGAGTGATGCCACACTTAGCTGTGACAACACAAGAGCTACAGCACAGCTGAGATAGTGTCTGGAAGAAGCTTCCAAAACTGGAGTGTCACTGTCTAGCTTTTTGTTCCTGTCTGAGAACAAATTGGTTAATATACTGGAAATCTGCTGGGTCTCTCTGTACGAGCAGATAAGTAGCACAGGATTAAAAAAAAAAAATCCCTTGAGGTTCTCCCTTGCTTCCTCCCTCCAGCACTCCTGCAGCAAGTGATGGAAGAGCCACAGGTGACAGAGTCAAGGTCAAGTGTATGAATCCCACTCATTATTCTCTTTGGTGTGGAAAAATGATTCTGTCCCTATGAAGATCAGTGCAAGAATCTCAGAGTAAATGTGGGGCTCACATTAATATCACAGGGGCATTTTGCTTGCATGTCCTGATTTGAGCATCATGTTTTGTACCCGGTTACTGTGAGCCATCCCCCAAAAAACACTAAAAACTGTTTGAATCACAGCAGTCAACAGGATCAGTTGTGTGGTATGTCTACGGAATGAAGATCCATGTCTGCTTCACATTTAAGTTGTAAAAAATTTTAAAATTGTGTTTTCTGAAAAGCAAGTCACCCTCAAGTATCTGTAGCAATGCTCTGGCTGAACTTAATGCAGCAGTGCCCACTCTTGATCATTTCATGGTGCTGGAACTTCTGCCAGATTGGAAGATAAGCCAAGTTTTATTTTTCCTTTATTTTTAAGGGTGGTTCTTACCATTCTGAAAAAAAAAAAAAAAAAAAAAAAAAGGCCCTGGCTTGGAAATATTAAACTATGAGTGACACAAAAGCTTGAGATTAAAAAAACCCCACAACTGCAGACCTGGAAAAAGATCCTCAAACTCATTTTTAAGAAGCAATCTCATAATTCTTGCAGCCTGACTCATCAGTTTTTGAAAAACAGGCTTGTCAAGCAGCTGAAGTACAGCCTTTTCCCAACAGGAGCCAGTTAAATCTCATGGTGCCCACAGAGGTTACAGATCCTCCACATCAGGTGATTTTTTCCCTTCAGGAAGAAGGCTCCTCACAGTCACTGTTGATGTCCCGCATCACAAATGCATTTTCATCCTTTGTATTGATTTTCTGATCTGTTCAGGGCAGACTGCTGTGCCCTCTGTGCCTGGCTGGCTCTGCTCAGCCTCACTGACTCCCCAGACCGGGAACTTTGCACATCCTGGCAAGTTAAACACACAGGGTTGGGCAAAGGTTGTTCAGCATTTGGGAGACATTGCGAGTGTTTGACATTTGAACCTTAATGTTCAAATGTCACCATTCTGGAAGTCATAGACTGATACTATTATTGAAAACAAACCATGACTTCCAGATTCTGAGCTGACCAGGACCAGAGCACACCCAGCCACATCCTTGGCCTTTCCCAACAGCTCAGACTGGCAAGGAGTTTCTACTGCAGGGGTAAAAAATTGTGGGAAGAGCATCTTCCTGATGCAGCTAACCAGTGTCTGGCACTGAACATAACCTGTTCAGAGAGAACATCTCCAGGGCTACAGTCTGTGAAGCCTGGATGTGCTTGACCATAGACTTCTATTAAGAAATAGCATGAGCAGGATCTGGAAGAAATTTGAGGCAGTATCTTGAAAGGTTTTCCTAGGGGACACACTTGAAAAATTAGCATTTGTGTATTATTTAAGCTAATAAAAAGTCAGTGTAATGATGTTACCTGGATGTGGCAGTGAATTTTTCACCGTTGTCACTGAACTCATCAAAGCCTGCCTCACAGCAAAGCAATTAACTCCACAAGTTGATGGCTGGTGTGTATTCAAAGATTTGGAGGATTTTTTTCCTGTGGAAAATTTCCACAGGAAATTGCAAACTATCAGTTGCAAAACATCTAATGAGAACCTGAAAACCTAACCTTGCTGTGATACAAGTAGAAGTACAGTGTGGGAGTTTGGCATAAGATTTAGCAGACTGTAGTGCTGATCTGACATAAATGGTTGTTCAAGTTACACCGGTTTTAAGATTTGAGTACACTAACAGCAAGAATCTGTGGATTCTTTGAAATAATGTGCCTGGCTAAAGTGTACAAAATGCATGACCACGTATCAGTGCAGAGCTAAGAGAACACTTGCAAAAATGCCAGAGAACTGTCAGGGAAATCCCTTGATGTGAACATTAATTAGTGTAGGAATAGCCCACAGGCGTAAAGCGCCTCAAGTAATAACGGGATGTGTACCCAAACAAAGCACAAGATGAGCCATCTAGAACTGGGTGCAAAAAGAATTTAAATGCATGCAACAGAGAGTATCTTCAGAGATTCTCTCTTGAGGGTACTGATGATCTTCCCTTACTTTGTTGTGTAAGAATTACTGCACCAAGGACTCTATTTGCAGACTGTACCACTCCTTTGTTTTAATATAATATTCTTAGTTACTTGGGTTTTGTTCAGTAACAATCTTTAGATCAAAAGAGTTTGGTGTCCCTCTGTTGTTAACACTGTGCTCCAACACGCTGCAATCTGTTTCTGATTTCTTCACAGAAAATCCAGTGGCAAAAGGTCATTGGATAACCGTGTTAGAAAACTTAATAGGAAGTCTTTTGGTGAATTTCTATTCATCATTACTCAAACAGCATAGCAAATGTGAATTAGTAACTCCCATCCATGAAATTATGAAAGGCTTTTTACTTCTTGATTCAATGGCATTTTACACTCGCCCTACCCTAGAAACAGATAACAGAGCAAAGAGCTTTTGTAAATTCAGCCCTACACTTGGAGATCCCACAGGAGCTCTGGAATGCAGGACAGCAAAGGACCTCCTACATCCTTGACTCAGGTACATGAAACTGCAGGCAAACACACATCATCATCCTTTTATTCAGCAGATAAACATGTTTTCTACTCCTAGGACCTCATTGTCAGAAATGATTCAGGCATTGCAGGTATCAGTTTGTGTGGGGCTTTTGTGCAAGGTCTGTCCTCCAGGAAAAACAGCTTTTTTCTCTCCCAGGCTGACCAACCACTTGATGTGTTGTGGACAGCAGATATCCCCTCTGTCAACCTTCCACTTTGCCAGGCTGAATTCCTCTCACCTCTCCTGATGCCAACTCTCCATTCCCTGGTGAACCTCAACACTCCTGTCTCCACTGAGACAAGTCCTCCTGAATATAGGTGACCAGAACCACAGACCACATCTCAGAGGTGTTCACCCATCTCTGCACAGCACTGACATGCTTTTTGTGTCATCAGAAACAGCCTCTCAGTGCATGGATGCCTTGCCAGCACCATGAGGCTCCTTGGCAGAGGTTGCTCTGCTCCCTGACAGCCGCTATTGATTCAATAAGTGACTGGACTAATTCCAGAGAACAGCCCCCACCATGGATGTCAAGGCCTATTAACTACCAGGATAACCACCTATGGCTCAGGAAGCTGCAGATCACTTCAGGGTACATTTGTGAAATATCAAAATTCACTTTCCTGCTCTTCTGTTGGAATTTGCTCTTGATCAGAGTTGAGTCAAGATATGAGATCAGACAGACTTTACTTTTGACTTTAATTTTCACTTGCTTTTTTCACCCTGCATTGGTGATCCGTGTATTATGGCTGACTGTATATTCCATTTTTTCTGTTACTGATTTCAGATTGAGAACATCCCAGATTGTAGTGAAAGGTTTTGCTCCCCATCCCAGAAGGAACAACTTTGCATTTTGACTTTTAAAATTTCTTTTCTCTTCTGCTGTTCCAGGCCTCAGCATTATCTGATCCTTCATTCTCTGTATTGACAATTCTTTCTAGATTCTTTTACAAAAAAATTCTTCTTACCATTACAGACAGACATCACACCTGTCACCTGTGACTACTTGGAAACCACCTAAGAAAGCAAACAGTGACACTGTTGGTACACATGAACACACAGCGCTTTTCCCTTCCTTCCCAAATTCTTCCCTGAATTTTTACCTGAGAGTACGTTTGGCTATATGAGTGACTGCTCTTTCTCAAATAAACTCTTATAGGAGTTGGCTCAGCCTGAAATATTGTCAAAAAGACTCTTGCTCTTCATATTAAAAAAAACCACCACACCATCACCAGCCTTCACACATCCCACACGTGAACCAGCACAGATAGAGTAATGCTTCCTTTCCAAAGCCCACAGAAAGCCTATGACTTTGCACTGAGAGAAGCCAGCTCCAGAGCTACAAGACAAAGGCTAAAAATAACCCATTAAAGGATTAATTTCAGGATTTTTAAATACAGCTAATTAACATGCAAAGGAAAGGCACATGGTCTCCAGGAAGGAGCACACACAATCCCAGAGTCTGCAAGGGAAGGGAGGGGGGGCGGGTGACATGCAGGCAGAGTGCCAGCAGAGAGATAAAAGAGGATATTCCCTATATATATCCCTTGGGCAGAGAACATGCACAGGAACGTCTGTTTCAGAGGAGGTGGAAGCAGAGGCGTGAAGCACTTCACTGTTGAAGAGGCACAGACAATGCAGTGCAACCACAAAGGACAGGACACACCTTGCCACTGCAAGTGAATTCCAGTGAGGTGGCTCAGGGCCCGAGGACACCACAGGGAGATCAAGGGATGCAAAAGCTGCTGCTTTGGAAGTGATGCTGCACTTGGGAGCTGGGCGCAGCCTGAACACACCAGTGCAAGGAACCACAGGGCAGCAGCTGGATGGAAAACTGGATCTCAAGGTGGATGGCATGGCAGTACAGCTGGGACCATGTGCTGCACTCAGTTGTGGCACTTTGGAGGCAATTTCCTCCTATGATCGTTGCATCCTGAAAACAAGGTAGCATGTATGAGCAACATGGGTGATGTCAGACAGAAAGGATTATCTACAGTTCATGTGAATCTGAAAGCAAATCTGGTTATTCACAGGCTGTACTGGAAAAAAACAGAGCTATAGCAGCAGTTCCAGAGGATTTCAAGGCACAGGGGGAAACAAGCTCAGTTGAAGCCATTTCCTCATACCAGTTTCCCTGTGAATAACACTTAATTGGAAACTTTTTCCATTTCTCAGACAGCAGAGGAATAGACAGTCAGACTTTATTCCCAACTCACTGGCTACTGAAGTCTCAAGAAAAGCTGAGGGTTTAACCTGGTGGCTTAATTATTTAGCACCACTGCTTGTCTGCCTGACCCTTTACCTTCATCTAAAAGGATCTTTGAACCTTTTAGCCACTTTCACACAATCTGAGAAATGGGGAGAAATCTCAAACTTTTGTGAGGTTTGGTGGCTTTCACAATGGCACCCAGGAACAGCCTCAAAGTGCTGTGCATGAAGCTGCATTTTGAGAGCCATCTGAGCACTACAGGGACCTGTCAGAACCAAGTACAGGGTACAGGGGTTTAATTTTGCAACAGGGGGTCTTGATACATGTTAAAGTTGACGAAGTCCCTAGCAGAACTGCAGGGGAAAGAAAAGTTGCAGCACCACCAAGCCTCTGGAAAAGGGTCAGCTTCACACTTCAGTGCTACAGGATGCTGCTTTTGGAGGCAAAGGAAAAAAAAACTACACTCTTTTCACTTAAAGACATTCTTTATTCAATCTTTTTTATATACAATATTATTTTTTAATCTGTAAAAAGTACATATGCAGGATTCCAGGTCAGAGGCAGAAGGTTTCCACGTCAGAAGATAGACTTTTGCCCTTTTATTATTTTGGAGGAAAAAATAATCTGTCAGTTTTAGACAAAGCAAGAATAAAGGCAGAATGCAAATCCAACTTCCACCAAGCGATTAGGATTAAAGGCAACAATTCACTGTAACAGGTCAGGCTGTCTCCTCTGACTTTGGTGGTTCCCAACTTTCCTGGGCAATTACAGAGCAGTTTGTCAGAAGGTGCTGACAGCTGAGGCAGGTCGTGCTTATCATCTCCGCTACAGCTGTACGCACACAACTTGCAAAAGAGCCTGGGCTTCCTCTTTGTATGGCAACTCAAACTCTTGAGTCAGAAGACTGTTTTCTCAAAAGTCAAGGAGTGAAAGAGGGTTGTCTCACTCAGGGTGAACAGATCTCCCAACTACAGTATGGATCAAGAGCTTGCTTTCATTTTTCTCTGGTATCAAGAAGCCTGTTTCTTATTTGTCCCCTTATAAACATGGGCTAGGCTTAGTAGTGTAAATACCAACAGGGCTTTGCTTAGGGGGTGCACCTCTAACCTTAAAGGATGGCATTACAGGCAGTGTGCCATTATTGTTACCTTTCAGAACCCAGGCAATATTCAAATCTTGTAAAATATTGGGGGGGAATATGTCAGTGTTTGGGAGCTAGAACACAGTGATCCACAAATTTGGAGCAGGGAGCTGAAGGAACAGCAAAGGTGTGACTGGCACATGGAACTACTTGCTCTTCCTTCTACTCCTGGGCACTTGCTATTTTCTGCACTTTTCTTGAACATTCAGTTTTAAGGACTACAGTGTGCAGCAAAATTAACACTCAGAATATCATTCAAGGGGTTTTTTTATTTAGAGGACAATGCTAAGAAGTTGACTTCTTGACTGCGGCGCATGCACAGCTCCAGGGTTGTTAATGGAAGCTGCAGAAATCTGGCCTCTTTGAAAAGTCAAGCTTTAATTGTTAGGAAAAAAATTACTGCTGGCAGATCCTGACCAACAGGCAAGTTTGAGGCTTGGATTAGGAAAAGAACCATACATCCTTGTTTTGACTGCATGCAAACAGGAAATAAACAATTTTGGGATTTCCAGACTCC